GATAGGAGTAGGCATACACTCGGTGGCTCACTTAGCGTGCGATTTTCCACGGCTAATCGCAGCAACTCCAGAGGCATACAAGCCTCTAGGAAAGTTCTTTGGGGAGGAGCAACCGAAGAGATATTCGCATTTTGTCAACAGAAGGAATAACAGGGCTCGTGATGGTTCTCTTGATGGCAATTGCTTTTACACTAGCTTTGCCTTGGTTTAGACGAGGGAAGCTAGAGAAACAGCTTCCAGGGCCACTAAAGAAACTCGCTAGCTTCAATGCCTTCTGGTACACTCACCATTTGTTCGTTATAGTCTACATTCTCCTTATCGTTCACGGGTACTACGTGTATCTCAGTAAGGAATGGTACAAGAAAACTGTGAGTAATTCGATGTTTCAACATTTTTTCAGCCCCAATCTCATGAGTGTTGAAAAATATTGTAACTAAATAACTTGAGGGTTTTGCTTGTACGTAGACGTGGATGTACTTGGCAGTACCAGTAGCTCTCTATGCATGCGAGAGACTGATACGAGCATTCAGATCGAGCATCAAGACCGTAAGAGTTATTAAGGCTGCGGCTTATGCTGGAAACGTATTGAATTTGCTCATGTCAAGGCCTAAAAATTTCAAATATAAGAGCGGTCAGTACATGTTTGTAAACTGTCCAGCAGTCTCACCATTTGAGTGGTACGCCGAAAAAACACTTAAGAGTCAAGAACCCTATATTCATTTTAGTATACACTACTCATATATGTTTACATGTATCTCTGTGTAGGCATCCATTTTCAATAACTTCTGCACCACAAGATGACTATCTGAGCGTTCATATAAAATCACTTGGAGATTGGACTAAGGCTCTTAAAGGAGTTTTCTCCGAGGTCTTATTTACTTTTGGATATCTCAAAATTATATCATTTTATTAGTCTTGAAGTGAGGGAAAGAATAGTTTCATGAGAAGAATGTTTGCGTTATGTCTCAGGTGACGTCTAAGCCACCTCCGGTCGGAGACATGTTGCAAAGTGCAAAAAGTATTGAGTAAGTATTTTCTAACCACATCAAAGAATCATCTTCTAACCATCCCATAAAAGTATGATTCATTACATACGTAGACATGATATATAGTATTAGATAATCATGTTCCCACTGGTTCCCTTTGTTTGTCTATGTTTTGTCCGCAAAGTCTTGTATTACGATCAGCCATTCTGGCTTTTCTTAAATAATACATGTGAAGTTGTGAACATAGACGTTATTTACCAACTACTACTATTAATCAAAGGTTTAAGTCGCTGTAACAGAAATATATATCTATGGATTGGTTATATACTCTATCAATTTTTCCCAACTTTATTAAGTGAGGATTATTGTCTTTATCAACTTTTTCTCACTTGGATAAAATATTCATGACTTCAAGAATATATCAACAAAAATTTGCCTTTTTCATAATATAGAGTCAAGTTCTTGTCTTATCCATTGTTCTGATGCATTTACAAAATGCTGTTATATATATGCATGCTATAATCAGTCTTATCAATTGTTTTCAAGTACATAATGTTTGAATTATGTTTTAAAAGAAAACATACTTTCATTTCTTATCAAACATCATTGTTGGCCGTTAATGTTATATATGTTCTTTGACCGTTGGACAATTAATCAACCTAAGAAAAGCTAATTTTGTTAATATAAAAATGACAATGGCTTCTTTTTCCACAGTTTCCCCAAAATCATGATTGATGGTCCATACGGCGCACCAGCACAAGACTACAAGAAGTACGAGGTGGTTCTTCTAGTCGGCCTTGGGATTGGGGCCACCCCGATGATCAGCATTATCAAGGACATTATCAACAATATGATGGCTAAGGAACAAGCCCAACTCAACCAAATGGAGAAGGGATCGCAACAGGAGCCACAAGGTAAGAAAGAAACTTTCAAGACACGAAGGGCTTACTTTTACTGGGTCACAAGGGAGCAGGGTTCATATGATTGGTTCAAGAACATCATGAACGAGATCGCAGAGCGGGACAAAAATAAAATAATAGAACTACACAACTACTGTACTAGCGTCTACGAAGAAGATGACGCTCGTTCCGCGCTCATACATATGCTTCAGTCTTTAAACCACTCCAATAATGGTTTGGACATTGTCTCCGGGACTAGGGTCATGTCCCACTTTGCCAAACCTAATTGGGAAAACGTCTACAAACAGATAGCAATGGATCACCCTGGATCTAACGTTGGTAAGTTCTCTCCCTCTCTCTCACACATCAAACCGAGCAGTAAGTGTATTTTCATTCCAAATGTACCTTTGTGACTCCACTTGTGGAAACTCACTTGTAGTGTATAAGATGAACTAGATGGACCCATACTTATCCAAACATGGATTAATAGGTTCTACACATGACTATGAGGACAAACATGAGTGAAACGGTCTCAATCCAAGGGAGGAACATCAAATGGACCTAATTTGGGAACCGGAAGAGGTAAGGAGTCCGAAATGTACCTCTGTGACTCCACATTGTGGAAACTCACTTGTAGTGTATAAGATGAACTAGATGGACCCATACTTATCCAAACATGGATTAATAGGTTCTACACATGACTATGAGGACAAACATGAGTGAAACGGTCTCAATCCAAGGGAGGAACATCAAATGGACCTAATTTGGGAACCGGAAGAGGTAAGGAGTCCGAAATGTACCTCTGTGACTCCACATTGTGGAAACTCACTTGTAGTGTATAAGATGAACTAGATGGACCCATACTTACCCAAACATGGATTAATAGGTTCTACACATGACTATGAGGACAAACATGAGTGAAACGGTCTCAATCCAAGGGAGGAACATCAAATGGACCTAATTTGGGAACCGGAAGAGGTAAGGAGTCCGAAATGTACCTCTGTGACTCCACATTGTGGAAACTCACTTGTAGTGTATAAGATGAACTAGATGGACCCATACTTACCCAAACATGGATTAATAGGTTCTACACATGACTATGAGGACAAACATGAGTGAAACGGTCTCAATCCAAGGGAGGAACATCAAATGGACCTAATTTGGGAACCGGAAGAGGTAAGGAGTCCGAAATGTACCTCTGTGACTCCACATTGTGGAAACTCACTTGTAGTGTATAAGATGAACTAGATGGACCCATACTTACCCAAACATGGATTAATAGGTTCTACACATGACTATGAGGACAAACATGAGTGAAACGGTCTCAATCCAAGGGAGGAACATCAAATGGACCTAATTTGGGAACCGGAAGAGGTAAGGAGTCCGAAATGTAGTCCTACCTGTGACTCCACATTGTGGAAACTCACTTGTAGTGTATAAGATGAACTAGATGGACCCATACTTATCCAAACATGGATTAATAGGTTCTACACATGACTATGAGGACAAACATGAGTGAAACGGTCTCAATCCAAGGGAGGAACATCAAATGGACCTAATTTGGGAACCGGAAGAGGTAAGGAGTCCGAAATGTACCTCTGTGACTCCACATTGTGGAAACTCACTTGTAGTGTATAAGATGAACTAGATGGACCCATACTTACCCAAACATGGATTAATAGGTTCTACACATGACTATGAGGACAAACATGAGTGAAACGGTCTCAATCCAAGGGAGGAACATCAAATGGACCTAATTTGGGAACCGGAAGAGGTAAGGAGTCCGAAATGTACCTCTGTGACTCCACATTGTGGAAACTCACTTGTAGTGTATAAGATGAACTAGATGGACCCATACTTACCCAAACATGGATTAATAGGTTCTACACATGACTATGAGGACAAACATGAGTGAAACGGTCTCAATCCAAGGGAGGAACATCAAATGGACCTAATTTGGGAACCGGAAGAGGTAAGGAGTCCGAAATGTAACTACATTGTGAAACTACTGTCTCTGTGACTCCACATTGTGGAAACTCACTTGTAGTGTATAAGATGAACTAGATGGACCCATACTTACCCAAACATGGATTAATAGGTTCTACACATGACTATGAGGACAAACATGAGTGAAACGGTCTCAATCCAAGGGAGGAACATCAAATGGACCTAATTTGGGAACCGGAAGAGGTAAGGAGTCCGAAATGTACCTCTGTGACTCCACATTGTGGAAACTCACTTGTAGTGTATAAGATGAACTAGATGGACCCATACTTACCCAAACATGGATTAATAGGTTCTACACATGACTATGAGGACAAACATGAGTGAAACGGTCTCAATCCAAGGGAGGAACATCAAATGGACCTAATTTGGGAACCGGAAGAGGTAAGGAGTCCGAAATGTACCTCTGTGACTCCACATTGTGGAAACTCACTTGTAGTGTATAAGATGAACTAGATGGACCCATACTTACCCAAACATGGATTAATAGGTTCTACACATGACTATGAGGACAAACATGAGTGAAACGGTCTCAATCCAAGGGAGGAACATCAAATGGACCTAATTTGGGAACCGGAAGAGGTAAGGAGTCCGAAATGTACCTCTGTGACTCCACATTGTGGAAACTCACTTGTAGTGTATAAGATGAACTAGATGGACCCATACTTACCCAAACATGGATTAATAGGTTCTACACATGACTATGAGGACAAACATGAGTGAAACGGTCTCAATCCAAGGGAGGAACATCAAATGGACCTAATTTGGGAACCGGAAGAGGTAAGGAGTCCGAAATGTACCTCTGTGACTCCACATTGTGGAAACTCACTTGTAGTGTATAAGATGAACTAGATGGACCCATACTTACCCAAACATGGATTAATAGGTTCTACACATGACTATGAGGACAAACATGAGTGAAACGGTCTCAATCCAAGGGAGGAACATCAAATGGACCTAATTTGGGAACCGGAAGAGGTAAGGAGTCCGAAATGTACCTCTGTGACTCCACATTGTGGAAACTCACTTGTAGTGTATAAGATGAACTAGATGGACCCATACTTACCCAAACATGGATTAATAGGTTCTACACATGACTATGAGGACAAACATGAGTGAAACGGTCTCAATCCAAGGGAGGAACATCAAATGGACCTAATTTGGGAACCGGAAGAGGTAAGGAGTCCGAAATGTACCTCTGTGACTCCACATTGTGGAAACTCACTTGTAGTGTATAAGATGAACTAGATGGACCCATACTTACCCAAACATGGATTAATAGGTTCTACACATGACTATGAGGACAAACATGAGTGAAACGGTCTCAATCCAAGGGAGGAACATCAAATGGACCTAATTTGGGAACCGGAAGAGGTAAGGAGTCCGAAATGTACCTCTGTGACTCCACATTGTGGAAACTCACTTGTAGTGTATAAGATGAACTAGATGGACCCATACTTACCCAAACATGGATTAATAGGTTCTACACATGACTATGAGGACAAACATGAGTGAAACGGTCTCAATCCAAGGGAGGAACATCAAATGGACCTAATTTGGGAACCGGAAGAGGTAAGGAGTCCGAAATGTACCTCTGTGACTCCACATTGTGGAAACTCACTTGTAGTGTATAAGATGAACTAGATGGACCCATACTTACCCAAACATGGATTAATAGGTTCTACACATGACTATGAGGACAAACATGAGTGAAACGGTCTCAATCCAAGGGAGGAACATCAAATGGACCTAATTTGGGAACCGGAAGAGGTAAGGAGTCCGAAATGTACCTCTGTGACTCCACATTGTGGAAACTCACTTGTAGTGTATAAGATGAACTAGATGGACCCATACTTACCCAAACATGGATTAATAGGTTCTACACATGACTATGAGGACAAACATGAGTGAAACGGTCTCAATCCAAGGGAGGAACATCAAATGGACCTAATTTGGGAACCGGAAGAGGTAAGGAGTCCGAAATGTACCTCTGTGACTCCACATTGTGGAAACTCACTTGTAGTGTATAAGATGAACTAGATGGACCCATACTTACCCAAACATGGATTAATAGGTTCTACACATGACTATGAGGACAAACATGAGTGAAACGGTCTCAATCCAAGGGAGGAACATCAAATGGACCTAATTTGGGAACCGGAAGAGGTAAGGAGTCCGAAATGTACCTCTGTGACTCCACATTGTGGAAACTCACTTGTAGTGTATAAGATGAACTAGATGGACCCATACTTACCCAAACATGGATTAATAGGTTCTACACATGACTATGAGGACAAACATGAGTGAAACGGTCTCAATCCAAGGGAGGAACATCAAATGGACCTAATTTGGGAACCGGAAGAGGTAAGGAGTCCGAAATGTACCTCTGTGACTCCACATTGTGGAAACTCACTTGTAGTGTATAAGATGAACTAGATGGACCCATACTTACCCAAACATGGATTAATAGGTTCTACACATGACTATGAGGACAAACATGAGTGAAACGGTCTCAATCCAAGGGAGGAACATCAAATGGACCTAATTTGGGAACCGGAAGAGGTAAGGAGTCCGAAATGTACCTCTGTGACTCCACATTGTGGAAACTCACTTGTAGTGTATAAGATGAACTAGATGGACCCATACTTACCCAAACATGGATTAATAGGTTCTACACATGACTATGAGGACAAACATGAGTGAAACGGTCTCAATCCAAGGGAGGAACATCAAATGGACCTAATTTGGGAACCGGAAGAGGTAAGGAGTCCGAAATGTACCTCTGTGACTCCACATTGTGGAAACTCACTTGTAGTGTATAAGATGAACTAGATGGACCCATACTTACCCAAACATGGATTAATAGGTTCTACACATGACTATGAGGACAAACATGAGTGAAACGGTCTCAATCCAAGGGAGGAACATCAAATGGACCTAATTTGGGAACCGGAAGAGGTAAGGAGTCCGAAATGTACCTCTGTGACTCCACATTGTGGAAACTCACTTGTAGTGTATAAGATGAACTAGATGGACCCATACTTACCCAAACATGGATTAATAGGTTCTACACATGACTATGAGGACAAACATGAGTGAAACGGTCTCAATCCAAGGGAGGAACATCAAATGGACCTAATTTGGGAACCGGAAGAGGTAAGGAGTCCGAAATGTACCTCTGTGACTCCACATTGTGGAAACTCACTTGTAGTGTATAAGATGAACTAGATGGACCCATACTTACCCAAACATGGATTAATAGGTTCTACACATGACTATGAGGACAAACATGAGTGAAACGGTCTCAATCCAAGGGAGGAACATCAAATGGACCTAATTTGGGAACCGGAAGAGGTAAGGAGTCCGAAATGTACCTCTGTGACTCCACATTGTGGAAACTCACTTGTAG